TTATTACACTGCCGCCTCCTGATTAGCTCAATGGTTAGAGCACTGGACTGTTGTGCGGGAGGTCAAGGTCAATGGTTCGAGCCCCAGCCAGACCAACACTCAAGGTCTTAAAATAACTGAGGAGAATGCACTACCTTTCTCGGATAAGGACAAATAAACCGTAGGCCCTGTCTCCTGCATCTATTAATTAGTTACTTTGGTTAGGCAGGGGACGTTAAAGAACCCACTCATGAGATTACTGTGATGTGGTCTGGCCCGTTTACTGGGAATTGGGGGGAGGGGGCATCTTCAAATAAGTTTCCTTCTAATGTTTGTAAACTGCTGCTGCAGTCCGGCCAAAGTCCCCCAAAAAGTGTTGTGATGCACATTTGATCATATCCGCATGTTAATTTTCACAATATAAATATTAAATTATCATTATTATTATGCTATGTTGTTGATGTTTAGGAGCTGGTGGGCTTGTGATCAATGAAAAGAACCAAGTATTAGCTGTTTGTGAGAGGTACAATAGAAAAAAGCATTGGAAACTTCCTGGAGGCATGGTGGATAGAAGTAATTATTGACCATAACTATTCACTTTCTATAAAATGTAAAGAAAGACTGCATCAATAGCTCACAATAAAATTCTGTGTAAATTCTTATTCAAAAAGTAAGAGCTTTTTTGGGCATTTTGATTCGACATTGATGGTGAAAATTCTGTACCACAGGAGTTAGGAATCAATTACTGAATTTTCCATCATTTTTAGTTCTTCCACCGAAAAGCTGGTTATGTATTTGGTTTAAGTAGAATGAAGCAAGTCGTATTTCTCTTCACACAATAAGTTGAATAGTGCACACATTTTCATTGGTTTTTAAGAATGACCTACTGGAAGACAAACGTGATGTCACCATTAACAGTTTTTTGCTTTTTTATCAAGTAAAACAAATCTATTTGATCTGCAGCTGGTCTCTACAGTAAGGTAATTGTTAATTTAAGTGACAATCTGTAAGACTGGCATGTTTATTGCTTTCTTCAGGTGAAGATATTGTTGAAGCTGTTAAGAGGGAAGTGTTGGAAGAAACTGGGGTTCAGACCACTTTCATTTCTCTCGTCTGTTTTCGTCACATGATCAACTTCCGTTTTGGTTGTTCAGATATCTACTTCATCTGTCTTCTGAAACCTTTAACTCACGAGATAACGATGGATGCAAAAGAAATTGCTGATGCCCAATGGATGGAGGTAATTGCATTAAGTAAAACAGTTGCTGTGGCTTATTGCAGCTTATTCTCTCGCACCACTCATGACACCGTGTTAACGGTCAAGGTATCGAGTTTAAACGAACAACTGTTTCATTTGCCATGGGGTGCAAAATTTCAAGTCTGATACAGTTTCACAAAGAATGTGCAAAGGCACACATAAGAGAAATGAAAACTCCGTGAAAACATAGAGGCTTATAAAAATAACAAAAACCAGGTGCTTTTTGTGAGCTCCGTGTATTTGGTCTCACCTTTAAGTTGAATTCTAGAATGTCATATTTTTGCAGCCAGGTTAGTGACTTGCATTCAAAATGGCAGCACCCTTAATCAAATTTTAACGGATGTGAAGAAGATTTTTTAGACTGTTCTAGGCATTCAGTGAGTAAAGCGG